GGAAAGCAGTGGAAGATGGCCCAAGTTGTTGGGCCCCTGCACCCACGTGGGAGACCCAGAGGAAGCTCCTGGCTCCTGGCTTCGGATCAGTGCAGTTGTGGTCAATTGGGGAGTGAACCAGTGGATGGAAGACCTCTCTCTGTCTGCCTTTCTTCCCTCTGCTTCCCTCTGTGTAACTCTGACTTTCAAATAAATAAATAAATCTTAAAAAAAAAATGAAATCCTGTCAAGAGAAAGGGCACCTTATGAATTGGAGCCTTCTACCCTAAGGGGTAAGTTGTGTATTAGATTTGTCTGTTAAAGTCCATGCCATTGTCATTTGTTAATACAGGTTTGTCTGAATATTAGGTCAATGCAGAGAAATGTCCTAGAAAGACTTTGTAAAAAACATTTGCTATATATAACCTAAACTTCCAGAAATTTGTCTTAACCCAAGTTTGAGGAGGGGCAGGTGGTTTGGATTCGATTCTTTTGTCTCCTGTATGCGTCAGCCTTCTCTCTGTTTCTTCCCACTCTCTTCTGGAGACAAGTTAAACTCACATTCTGTTGTTATGGGGAAACAGTGTTTCTCATAGCCTAACAAATTTTTGACTGTGGCTTGTTTACAATTAGATAGAACTGTATCTATGAACTACATTGAATCGGTTTTCTTTATGTTAGTATAACATTTGCATAATAATTGATGGGAATTGTGTTGTAGTAATCATCATGCATTTGCTGTGACCCCCAGAATCTAATGTATTAATATGTTCTTTAAATAAATTTAAAATAAAATGAAACTTGAAGAAAATGAATGTACCTTCCACATCAGTGAAGGGAAATTTCAAACCATCCAGAAGTCTGTGTCTCAGGGAATGTAACTGAAACATGTAACACAGAAGGGGAGAAGGGGAGAAAGTCTGAACAATTTAATTGCCAGTCCTCCACTGTGACAACTTTCCACCTCTACATCCGTCACTGCCAAGGTTACCAGTCTCAATTATCCCATTTCCCTGTGTTCCTGGCAGGCTGCTGCTGTTTGTGGAGCAGGTTTCATCTCCTACGTGCGTTTATTCTTCAGTTTCCAGTTCCTATTTACTCAGTTTTCACTTACATTGGGCTGTTTTAACAGATGGATGTGACAATTCTAAACTGCGGTAGAAAATTTTAAACTCAGACCTGGTGGTTAGCAAATAGAATCAGAAGAGAATGCCCCCTCTTTCTGTGCTCTCCTACAAGCTCAAGAAGTATACCATTCATATTTTTTTCTTTGGTGTTTTTCATTGGTATTGCATCCTTGTCAAAATTCCTTGATTCCTCTGCTACTTTCTCTTCGTTCGATCATGACCGTTATTTAAAAATCAGAAAAAAAAATGTATTCAACGTTGGATTTCTCCCTGCTCTTTCGCTTCTTTTCAGTCTACCCCATCTTGTCCCACCCCCTTTCCTTTCTCTTTTTCCTCTTTATCCTCTCTTGATTTCATCCTGGAGAGATGTCACGCTTGCTTCCCCCTCATGTTGACTACTACACTACATATTTAGCTGGCATTCATTCAACAAATACTCCTTTTTTCAGAAATGAAATTGAACCTTGGATCAGACTATACATATTCACAAGTGTAGAACACATAGTCTTTATCTCTAGGAGTATTACATGAGAGTGATGGATGGTGATAAGGCAGTGTGATAATGTAGTGTGGCAAGTGACAGTTGTGCATAAAGAAGGGCACTCAACATGGTCCTGAACAAGTCTCACAGGAAGAATTCTAACCTGTGCCATGACCAGCAGCTAGAAGTTAGCCATTTTTAAGAGTGAGTGGGTATGGGGTGAATGACTGATATATTTCAGGTGAAACATATAGAGGTGAGGTCTAGCTGGATGGATGTGAGGGAATTTAGGAGAGTTAAAATACAGATTATGAATGTGTATGGAAGGAGAGATGGAGAGAAATAGTATAACATAAGATCAGAGACATAAAGAAAGATCAAAGCTTTCTTTCTAAAAAAAAATTATCACAAAATTGTACCTTGCCAGACCTTATGCCCTTTTCTTCCTGAGTGTAGAGGGAACCATCTGAAGGTTTTAACCAAGGATGTCTCATAATCATAGTTACTTACAGGGCTATAGCAAAGAGGCTGCATTACATTCAGGGAACAGTATTTTTTATGCATTTATGAAATACTACAAATATAGTGAGGAGAGCAGTGTGCATAAACTCTGCCCTCAGGCCAGACAAAGACAATATGAATGGCAGGGAGAAATTTTGGTGACTTGCACTGCAGTGCTGCTGTAGGGGTAGATGTTAGGGGGTGCAGTATAGAGAGATTCAGGAGGTAGAATCGATAGAACACAGCAATGGACTGGACAGGGGTGGGCCACAAGGAGAGGGAGAAAATAGCACTGCGAATGTTGACTTGCCTTCTCCTTCCTGTCTTTGCTCTGACGGCCTGGTGACTTTGGGGGTGTTTCTCTTTCTGTGTGTCTAGTTTGCAGTGTGACCAGCTGTCAGTTCTGTCATCCCGATTGGTGGGCGCACAATGGTATGAAAACATTATGTGTTGTTGACCTTGTAGCAGAGGCCATTTGCTATGAGAAAGCTGTTATCCAAAATTATGCTGAGCAGCTCTTCCTGTCAGATGAGTTTTGTTCTTTATTCTGTTATTGGGATGCAGTAGAATAAGGTCTCAGGGACTGGATCCAGAGGGAGAGGCAGGATGGTTGAAAACAAATGGAAAAAAATGAGGAAAACTGTAAAGCAAAACTAATAGACTGCTGAGAAAAAACAAAGGCAATAGAATGGAAGATTTTAAATAAGCGCTTGGTTTACTGAGAGAGAGTTCCAAACTAGATTATTGTTATGGCTCAATATTTCTCTAAGGGGCTTCCTGAGAACGTTAGTATCTATGTTACTCTGTAGAGAGGTTTTTGAAATGGCATATTCAATAATATGCCTCTTGTTTACAAATATGATTAAACTTGTTGAACCTAGAATTTTACAAATACATTTCCCTCCTTTGTTTTTCACTAATACTGGATTAACATTCTGTGGACATGTCTCACAGAACGCATTTACAGAAACACTGGTCTAACTGAGAAATGGCTGAAGTAATGGTTATCCTTTAAAGAGCACTTGTTATCTGCTGTGCCTATTGTTAAACTCTTTACATAGACTCTTTAATTGAGTCTTCAATGACACCATCACATAGATATTATTATTATCCTCATCTTACTGACAATTAAAATAGTCTGAGTTATTAAGTAATTCATTTGAAGTCACATAGCTAGTAAGCAAGAAGCCTCATATTAACCTCAGTCTGCTCTTAAAGGCCAAAGACCCATTCTCTTGTACATTTTCTCTGACACACCACAAGACAAGGTCCATCAAGTCTGTGACGGTTGGTGCTTCAGTTATCTCATGAGTGGGACAAGCCTCCCAGGCATCAAGGACCAGACAAAGCCAAACGACTGAATATTCTCCAGTCTCACTGTCATTGAACCTTTAGTGTGTATTGGTCACTGGGCAGGCCAGGTCACCTACATCATCCTGTGTTGTGGAAGGAGAAACAGAAGCAGGGGATCTGGAAAATCACAGGAGAAGCACAAGCAGGAGAACCAAAAGGAATCAGATGATGTAAAGGTCACAGAATTAGAAGTTGGTAGTGCCTGAACTCAAACCCAGACGGTGTGACTCAGGATTTCATGTTTTTAATCCTGCACCACCTCCTCCTCAACATCTGAATTAATGTGTGCCAGTCTTGCAGCTAAGAAATGTTAACATATATATCTGTATTAAAGTATGTATCGGTTTATTTTTCCACATACTTATCCACATAAAAGACTTCAAAATTATACAGCCATCATTGTTACCATTGAGTCGTATTTTTGGAAATTAAATGTCTTGGAGGTGAAGGCATGAGGAAAAGGCAAACTAAGAGAATTCAAGAGTGAGGGAAGTAGGCTAGAGCCAGAAGTGACCCCAGGAAATTGCATTAGAACCAGGGAAGTCAAGGTTCTAGGTGGTTATGCAAAAGGAGTTCCATATAGGATCTGCATCTGAAAGGCAAAGGGCAACAGACATACATTTTTCTCCCTTATAAGTATATGCGAATGGATTCCAATTTTTCTTACCCCTTAACAACGTGGTGGTTAATGGAAGGATTCTAGAACTGATGGTTCTGAGTTTGAATTTTTACTCCATTATTAAATATGACCTTAGGAAAACTTTCAGGTTTCTTCAGCTAGATATTAGGGTAGACATATGTGCATCCTAAATTTGTTCTGGAGAAAAAATGAGATAATATTGTATAAAATACAGAAGAAAGTGTGAGCTAAACTTTGATTGTAGGTAATTATTGCTTTATTATAAGTTTTTGGTTTCCCCCCCTTTGAGCTCAGCTTGAAATTTCTTTTTAATTTGGTATTTTTCATTCTGCTTTTACATTTTTGCCCCACTTCTGAAGTAGAGCCAAGTGGATTTCAAAAGCAGTTTATCTCTAGAAGTGGAGTTTAGCACTTTGTATGGGTCAAATTAGTTTGCAATAAGGATATAATGTTATCAGATGATCTTTTCAAGTGCATTAGGAATAATGGATTGAAAGTGGCTTCATTCTGTTCAGCAATCCTTATAAGTGATTTTATCTAAACTGTTTACCCTGACCATGTAACTTGGCCTTGAAGGAAGCTTTACAAAAAAAATGATTTTTTTGATATCCATAAGTTAAGTCTGTTTTCATGGAGTGAAAAATTGTAGTATCTCCTAACGGATTTAGACTATTGCTAAATAGAGGAGGAGTGACTAAAGTAAGATTTTGCCTATCTCTTGCATTATTTCTAGTTTTTTGTTTGGAAAATTTCATTTTTCCCATTCAGAATTCCTATGCAGTGAACAGCATTTTAAATGCATGAATGCAATTTTCAGGAGTTAAATGTGTTAAAGTGTCAAAAAACTCTTTAAATATAGCACAATTATAATGGAAAAGCAATGAGTTCATAAACTTAAGATTGTTTGTTTTATTTGCAGGATGAGTAAGAGATACTTACAGAAAGCAACAAAAGGAAAACTGCTAATTATAATATTTATTGTAACCTTGTGGGGGAAAGTAGTATCCAGTGCAAACCATCATAAAGGTAAGCTCTTCTGTTTTCTGTCTCAGCTGTCTGTGCAAGATGACTTCTGTTAATGGAGACTGTCACATTCTGTCATCACTGGTCTGTTAAATTTTATTAGGTATGAGTCCCCCCTGGCAATTCTCTTTAAGTAAAAAGTGTGGAGAAGTATCCCAAACATAGCTTTGAGAGGGGAACCTGATATTTCTAGGATTACAGCTATTTTAGCAAATAGTGCTCAGTGAGTTCAAAATTATAACTGCCTTTCCTCTCCATTTTAAGGTAGTAATGTTAAAATGTGGGTTGAGATGTAATAACGCTTCAGGTTGCTTTAGCAATGATAAATATGTTAATGTATGTAGAAATGTAAATTTTCCTTCAATATTTTCCTTTGGGGAGCTGTTTGACAAACAAAATATAAAAATGTATTTGTAGGGGGGCAGTGCTGTGGTGTAGTGGGCTGAGTCTCTGCCTCAGAAGCCGGCATCTCCTATGGGCAGGTTTCACACCTGGCTGCTCCACTTCCCATCCAGCTCTCTGCTATGGCCTGGGAAAGCAGTAGAAGATGGCCCAAGTCCTTGGGCCCCTGTACTCGCATGAAGGACCCAGAAGAAGTTTCTGGCTCCTGGCTTCAGTTGGGCTAAGCTCCGGCCGTTGCAGTCATATGGGGAGTGAACCAGTGGATGGAAGGCTTCTCTTTCTCTTTCTTTCTCTTTAACTCTGCCTCTCAACTAAATAAATAAGTCTTAAAAATATATTTGTAAGCTGGTGGTCTTACTCATGAAATGAATGCTAGTGTACTCACCACCCCAATGGGGACTGTGACATTTCTAGTATTCTTGAAACCAACTGTTTCTCTCCCCCTGATCTTATTGCTTTGCCTTGCTCAGGATAATCACTGTTCCCAATGTTGCAGTTATAGCTGCTTTGCTTTTATTTATCATTCCACTCTATGTGTATTTGTATGTCCCCAACAGATATGTTATCTAATTTTGGGTGTTCTTTAATTTACATAAATGGTATTATACTATAAGTATTTTCTGCAGTTTGGTCCAGCAATATGTTTGATAAATTCCTTATAGGTGTTGGCATGTAACTATAGTATATTCATTTTTAATAATTGCTCCATATTTTATTATATGAGGTCCTCATAAATTTAGTATCTGTCCTCTTACATGTGAACATTTGATATTATATTTATTGTCATTATTAGCAGTGATTCTACAAATGTTCTTTTGCATCTCTTTTGGTGCACATGAGCAGGGTTTTCCTAAGGCAACATTCCTATGAGCAAAATTACTGGATCATAGGGTATGCAGGTTCTCAGTGTTACCAAATCATGAGAACTAGTTTTCAGTGTGATAGCACTAGCAACACTGCTCAAGGTGCTATCTTTATCTTTTTCTGTCCCTGTTCTTTGTAGTTCTGTCTCTTCTTTCAGACTGGATATTGCTTGCTTTAGCCTTATCTCTTCTTGATTGATTTCACCAGAGATTGGTCAATTTTATTAGTTTTCAAAGAGCCAACTTTGCCTCCCTTGATCCTTTTACTTAGATCTTGTTGTATTCATTATTTTCTACTCTTATCTTTTAGCTTAATTTTTATTTATGAAATGAACCTTATATTATACTAAGTATGTGCCAACCACTTGTGTGTAAGTCAAACTTCCATGGGTTTTTCACCGATGTTGAAGAAAGCCCTAGTCCCTTGAGACTTTCTTTATGGGGAGGATTAAACCAATAGCCATTTGTATAGTTAATTGATGTGATTCAAATGAATAATAAAACTCCTCTTATCCCCCCAAAAGGGCTAAATGGTTAGAGTTTGTGTTCATCTCTACAATAAGCTCTTTTTTAATATTTAATTTTATTTATTTGAGAGACAGAGTTATAGAGAGAGGTAGAGACAGAGAGAGAGGTCTTCCATTTGCTGGTTCACTCCCCAGATGGCTGCAATGGCCGGAGTTGCGCCAATCCGAAGCCAGGAGCGAGGAGCTTCCTCTGGGTCTCCTACGTGGGTTCAGGGACCCAAGGACTTGGGCCATCTTCCACTGCTTTCTCAGACCATAGCAGAGAGCTGGATCAAAAGAGGAGCAGCCAGGACCAGAACCAGCACCCATATGAGATTCTGGCACTTCAGGCCAGGGCTTTAACCCACTGTGCCACAGCGCCGACCCCACTACAGTAAGCTCTTAAGGTGCCACAAAGACTGGTGTGTCCATCTCCCTGTGCATGAATCCCAGGCCTTGGAGACATCTGAAGTATATCTGGTCCTTGGAATCTATATTTGAATTCTAAATGGTTAGAATGGGAACCTAGGATCTTTTCCATATTGTCTCGAAAAAGCAAGTGATTTTTCTGCCTGGAGGGAAAGGGAATTGCTGTCTCTGTCTTAAATGCAAACGGAAAAAAAAAAAATCCATGGTTCTCTGTCACTCACCTAGAGTGTTCAGTGGTTTATGTACGACATTTGGTGTAGTTGTTTCAGGGATGAGGCCTAAGGCATGACATACTAATTCACTTAATTTACTTACTATTTATTGTGAGGTCATTTATAAGAAATCAGATTCAGATTCAGAACAACTTGGTGAGCATTCAAAGACAAAAGAATTAAGATTAATATTGGAAACCCAGTAATAAGAGCATTACAAATATCCATTTAAATCATTTTTGTCTTCATAATAATCTATGAGGGATATATTATTTTAAAATCTTTTTTTAAAAAAATGATTTATCTATTTATTTGAAAGGCGCAGTTACAGGGAGGGAAGAGCAAAGGCAGAGAGAGAGAGAAGTCTTCCATCCACTGTTTCACTCCCCAAATGGCCACAATGGACAGGGCTAGTCCACACCAAAGCCAGGAGCCAGGAGCTTCATTCCATGTCTTGCATTTGGATGAAGGGACCCAAGCACTGGGCTGTCCTCCATTGCCTTCACAGGTGCATTAGCAGGGAGCAGGATCGAAAATGGAGCATTCGGGACTTGAACTGGCATCCTATGGGATTCTGGTGCTTCAGGCTGTAGCAAAACCTGCTACACCATAATGCCGGCCTCCAAAAACTAATTTTTAATATAGTAAACTATGATGAGGGAGGGCCGGCACCGTGGCTCACTAGGCTAATCCTCCGCCTTGTGGTGCCGGCACACCAGGTTCTAGTCCCGGTCGGGGCGCCGGATTCTGTCCCGATTGCCCCTCTTCCAGGCCAGCTCTCTGCTGTGGCCAGGAGTGCAGTGGAGGATGGCCCAAGTGCTTGGGCCCTGCACCCCATGGGAGACCAGGATAAGCACTTGGCTCCTGCCTTTGGATCAGCATGGTGTGCTGGCCGCAGCGTGCCAGCCGCAGTGGCCATTGGAGGGTGAACCACGGCAAAGGAAGACCTTTCTCTCTGTCTCTCTCTCTCACTGTCCACTCTGCCTGTCAAAAAAAAAAATAAATAAATAAAAATAAAAAAATAAACAAATAAAAAAGTAAACTATGATGAGGGAAAGTTAAGTGATTTGTCCAAGGTTTTTTTGTTAGTAATTGTTGGAGGCAGGATTCAAATCTAGGCAGTCTTATTCCACAGAGCTATTTTATGTATGTATGTGTATATACATACATAAAATATACACATACATACATACACACACACACACCATATATATGTTTGTATATATCTGGTAGTGAATTGCTTTATTTTAATACTATTTGGATTTAGTTGACTTCTTGTCTGGACTGGAATTCTATTTTTTAAAAAAAGCATTTTGCTTTTCTTTGAAATTCAGAGTTGGAGAGGGAGCGGGAAGCTAGGAGCCAGGAGCTTCTTCAAGGTCTCCCACATGGGTGCAGGGGCCCAAGCACTTAGAACATCTGCTGCTGCTTTCCCCAGGCAATTAACAGGATGCTGGATTGGAAGTAGAGCAGCCAGGACATGAACCAGTGCCCATATGGGATGCTGGTGCTACAGGCAGTGGCTTTACACACTATGCCATGAGAGAGAGAGAGAGAGAGAGAGAGAGAATGAATTCTACACCTGTAGGTTCACTCCCCAAATGACAACTGCCAGGGCTGGGACAGGCCAAAGACAGGAACCAGAAACTCCATCCTGGTCTCCCACATGGATGACAGGTTCCTAAGCACTTGGGCTATCATACATGGCCTTTCTTGGATGCATTATCAGGAAGCTGGATCAGAAGCAGAGCAGCAGGACTCAAACTGGTACTGTGATATAGGATGCTAGTGTTCCAAGCAGTAGTTTAACCCACTGCACCACAACACAGGCCCCTGGCAACCTCTCTTGAAGTATAGTTTCTTCTCTACTATTTCACTTAGATTAGCATTCAAGTTAGGTGTAAGTTGTGTGTAAGCTTTCTTATTATGTTATCTATGTTTTCCAGCCTTTATTTTATATTTTCTACCTCCAACTTTTTCTGTTCTATATTCTAGGATATTTATTCAGATCTACTTTCTTCCACACAATTCACTGTTTCCATGTGTCTAATCAACTCTCTAGTCCACATATTGAATTTTTATTCCATTCATTCTATGCTATTAGACATTCTTATTTTCCCTAGCTTATCTGTGCACTTTTGATGCCTTTTCCTTCTCACTTATGTTTTCAGTCCCCTCCTCTCTGTATGTATATTTTCCCCTATCTGATACCTATATTTTTTTGCTAATGATTATTTTTTAAAATTTTGTGAGCTACTATTCATGGGAATTGTATTGGTGAGAATTTTTAAGTCCTATGATTAGCCTGCATTCTTCCAGAGACAATTTGGACAGGCCGTGTGTCTTATGTAGAATTCCTCAGAAGCAGAGCCAAGTGACTTGTGGAGAGAGTGGTTTCAGAAGAATCCAAGTGAGTGATGCCACATAGAGCAGGTGATAAAAAAAAAAAAACAAACAACTAAGCACAAGTAGAACTTCATCTGGACAGCAGCCTAGTCTAAGTCCTTTGAGGATGCTCGGAAACCTAAGCTGCTCCACAGAGAAGGCCCCTCCTTGAGGCGAGGTGTGTGACTTTGCTACCCCGTGTCCAT